ATAATATCTGATTAAAGTTTTCTCTTTATATAAATAGAAAATCGAAAGGTAATCTTTAGTTATTATTAAAAAGTATGTTTGTTTGAAGTTTTGAAAATAGTGACGTATCATTTGGCAATTAAAAATTTCCGATAGAGGGCTTCAAAAGAAAGATTCCTCTACCGGAATTTAATAAGTTATCTCTCTACTTATGATAATTTGCACTGAACTTTATAAAAAATATTTTGAATAGTGTGTAAAATATTTTTCATACACGTAAAATTTTAATTTATTAAATATAAAATTGTTCTGTTAATAAATTAATTGTATGCTATTTTCTTAATTAAAAAATTTATTCTATAATTAAAATTTGAATTTATTAAAATTATATTCATATAATTGAATAAAGATTAAATAATAGTAAATATTTGGTAAAAGTAGAAGAAATGAAAATAAATATATTTTAAATCAATTTTTAAATCTACGAAAATAGTTTCCAATAAAGGACTTTCTACTATTATAAATTTCCGGTAGAGGGCTGTTTTATTGGAAGCCCTCTGCCGGAAATTAATAAAAACGTTTACTGTATGACTTTGCTTACTTCGAATTTTCTTTAAATATTTATAATAACTTATAAAACTTTTAAAAATTAAAAATTATCCTACAGACACATTCGCAAACAGACAGAAAAAATATTTACAAAAAAAAAACCACACACACACACACACACAAAGATGAGGCTTGAAAAAATATCGCTGTTTTCAAAAAGTATTTAGTAATTTCATAAGATTTTCTAATTTATTTTATTTAAATATTTTAATTATTTATTTAATAGCACCTTAGTTAATTAATGTAGAAAAAGATTTTTAAAAAATCATATATTTTAACATTAGAGACCAAATTCGATTACCACCATGAAACTTAATTGTATTTCTTTCTTAAAATAATTTTTGCATACATTAACATTATAAATCAGTTGAAGCGGGTGGAATTTTTCAACTTTGATAAGGATTGGTATGTTTTATACATACATCTAATGAGAGTTTAAAGTTTATTTTTAAAATAATTTTAATTAAAAATATATTTATAACGTTATTTTTTATAATTTTATATTTAAAAAACTTTTCAATCTGTTATAATTTTCACGCTTTCCAATGCATTTCAAGGATCGGGACATTAACGGAACTCTATTAATTTGCATAAATTTGATATTAGTTCTTAAGAATCGCTACAAAATCATAAACGTTTTTAAAAAAACTCTTTCGAAAAATCAATTGTAAATTCTGAAAAATTTTAACGTCTTTCGATCGGCACGAAAGACGTAAATGTCGGAAGCGCAATGTTAAACTTGACAACTAAATCTTCAAATTGAATATTGTTAAGTGGATCGATTGATTTTTATGTAAAACTAACTTTAAAATTTCGAATTAAATATTTAAAAAGATTAATTGAAATTCAAAATATAACAAAAATTAATGTTTTTATACCCGGAATTTGTATAAAATGACATAAAAATTCAGTAAATTCAGATATAAATGATCCTAGTAAGTATGGAGATTAACTGGAGGAATATTGTATCTTGCATTAAATTTATATGAGTTTAATCAGCCTTTATGGACGTTATACAGTAGGATAATGTAAAATAATGTTTTAAGCTCGAATTAATCGATATATTGACTTGTATAGGATGAACCAAAAGTCCATTAACTGTGTTGTGATTAATGTTTTCTTCGCAAACGTAAATTTGATGGGAACATGATAAAATTATGTTTTTATTTAAACATTTAAGTTTTACAACAGTTAAGTCACCATGTATTAGAATTTATGAATTTTAGCCTGTTCCTTCGAGTGAACACGTGAAAAAATCTTGATATTTGGTATACACTTTATAAAGTAAGATAGCCTCAGGTCATTTCTAGACCAACAGGATAGGAAAAAAAATCGATTTCCACTTCCAGTTGCTGCATTTTTTGTTCTTCGTGGATCACTTCTACTCAATTGCATCGCCTTATACATCAACATCCTGCACTTGGCTTTGTGCTCGAAACAATTGGAACTATTTGGTAATAGAAACAATTGGTTAATGGTACATTTTTCCTGTTTCTAGAGTAGGAATAAGTGTGCTTCAATAAATAATTCTGATGATTTGAACACGATTTAACCATTCGAACGAGGTTAGTTCACTTGTAAGAAATGAAACCACCGAAGCGCTATCTTTACAGGTTTTTTTAATAAAATAAATTGACTTGTTTATGATGCCATGGAAAATAAAATATAAAAATGAAAGTTAAAAATAATTTTTTTCTATTTTTTTTTTTAATATTTAAGTTATTGAGTCGAGTCCAAATTCTGGATTCCATACTAAGAGCGGATTCATATGAATATAGTTATTGTGGATACTGGTTCCTTTTTTTCAATTTTAAGTTGGAATTAGTATGCTTGAATGGATGTTTTTTTTTTATTTGAACACAATCTAATTAACTAAACGTAAGTGTTCTAGTATACATGGGAGGAACAAAAACACCAAAACGTCACTTGTATTCATTTAAATGTACACAGAATAGAGAATTTATATTATGAAGTAAACATTACATAACAGTTAAAAAGACTCAGTTTCTTTCAAATGTTTCTTTTTTATTATTATTTTTTGAAATATTTATGTTATCAGGTCTAGTCCAAATTTCGGATTCCACACCAAAGCCATTTTTTCGAATTATTTACTGATATACTTGGACAGCTCGATCGAATGACATGTCTGAGTGTTATATATTACTGTGGAGTGTGTGGTAAGCTTACAAAAAAGTTATATCTATTGTTTAATTTATTAAACTTAAGTTTCTGAGATGGATAAATAAATAAGAGTTGAAACTAAGGTACGAAGCGGGATAAAATGAATTTTTTTTAAGGCCCGATCATAGAAGATCTTGTAGCCCTTAATTTAATAATAATTAAGGACTTTTTTATCTTTAATTATGAGATGTTAAATATATAATAGCATATGATTCACCTCGATTGCATAATTGATCCGGCTATAACAAGGCTAATTTAGGGATTAGATATAAAGCAATTTGGCCGTAGGTAGTTGGTTAGGCGGCCATCTATTGATAAATTTAATAATTAAAATTAAATAATTTAAATTAAAATTAATTTTAGAATATTTTGGAAAAATATTTCTCGTAAACAAAATGGACAGTACTCTATGGATGGGTATCACATCTGGATAACAACTTTCGTGACATTTGTGTCAACAGAAGCTTGATATCTAGTTGGAGGCATCTCTTGCAAACAGGAGGAGGCAACAAGAAAACTCTTCTTGTTTGTTCCTACTGTCAACAAGATAAGAAGTCAAAAGAGTAAGAGAAACAGGAGAGTAGAAGGAAAAAAGAGCCAGTGGAATGATAATTGAAAGAGGAACAATAGCTCTTGTTGGCTCCTATTGTAACAAGATAAGGATTAGAAGATTCAAGAGGTTAGAAGTGAAAAATGATGATTGGAATGATAATTAGAAGAAGAATAATAGGATTAAATACAGTTCTTGTTGACTCCTATTGTTAAGAAGTAGAAGGAACAGGAAGAAGTGAATACAAACCATTGGAAGGTAACTGGAGAAGGAACAGAAGGATTGGAAAGTAATGAGAAAAGGAATCGATTGAAAGATAATTTAAATTACTTTTTAGTGGCCTACGAGTTTACTATTTCAGAGCTTTTCTTTTCTAATTTGCAAAGAACTTTATATTATCTAACAAGTAAGAACATTACTTTTTTATGGTCATACAAATAATAAAATTTGTGAAATATTATTATTTAAGGATGACATATTATGATATCACGTGTCAAAATTAAGCCCAGGAGCCACAAATCTTCATGCATGGTTCTTAAGTAAACAGAAATCTGTATACAGCATACGTTAAAGAAGTTTTCTCGTGTATACAGTCAAACCTGTGAACAGCGGCCACTGACGGAAACGTAAAAATGGCCGTTATCAGAGGTTCGACTATAATGTATTATTTGTTGTATCAATATATCGTTTAGTGTTTATCACACACAAAAACAAATAGAGTTATTTGCATTCGGGTATCGGATGAGATTACATTGCTTGATTGTAAAGAGCAGAAAGAAAGATTAAAGGTTAACGCAGTTTGCATTAAGGACAGCAATAATAGCAAAAGAAAATAAAAATCCAAAACGCGAGAATTTAATTAATCTTCTTATTGAAACAAGAAGATAATATCGATGAACCATTGTTGTTACTAAATGTACGATGAATATCAATTTATAACAGGAAGATGGCTACGTAAACCTCCGATATATCATGGAAATGTATTGTTTTCTTTATCAGTAAAGTTTAAACTGCTTTTTTAAAAGTACATCAAAAGTAATAGTGATAGGGGCTTAATCGGGTGAAGAAAGATAGCGTCAAAAACATTAAAAAATGTAATATTTTAGAATAGTAAGAATATTTTCACAATTCAGTGGTACCTCGTACTTCAAACGCTTCGGAGTTCGAACGGTTTCCTGAATGAATTAAATTCGAAGTACGAAGTATCACTGTATTCTGTTCAGTAGCATCTCTTCACAAAACCAAACTTATTCTCAAAATTCTATCAACTGTATTAGTTGTACAGATTGGTCCGAAAATCAGTTAACCAAACGCTTGCATTAAATTTATATGAGTTTAATCAGCCTTTATACACGTTATACAGTAGGATAATGTAGAATAATGTTTTAAGCTCGAATTAATCGATATATTGACTTGTATAGGATGAACCAAAAGTCAATTAACTGTGTTGTGATTAATGTTTTCTTCGCTTCCAACTCGTTCAATACATATTACTTCTGTTTAACGCGGACAAATTCGTATAGTAGAAGCAGTTAAATGACTTTTGGTCCAACCTGTACAAACTGCATACGTGCAGGATCTTAACAGTTTAATTTCGATCTTTAAATGTTAAATATTGGACAGTAATAAAAGGATTTCTTCTCCTTGTTTGTGACGGACTAATATTTAACTTTTTTTACAGCGTATGGAGGTGGTGACACAGAAATATGGGAAGCTCTCTGTCTACATCCAGGTTAGTACAGTACATGTAATTGATTTATTTGACATAAGAAATTTAATGCTATTTACATTACAAATATTGTCGTTTATAGTGTAACTAATTGTATAAATGGTAGTTAAGTGTAAGATGATTTCCTTTTTATGAAGTGATAAATAATACGGAGCATAAAATGGAAGGTGAATATTGACGAAAGGAGTAAAATAGCAAATGAAAATTAATGTAAGATGTAGCATGGATGCTGAAAAATAATGTAAGACGTAAAAACAGAAGGTAAAAATAATGTAGTGTGTAAAATACGCTGTAGAAATGTATGATATAGCCTAAAACAAGGGATTAAAGATAACACGTGACGTTAAAATAGGAGGTAAACAGTAATCTCTGACGTAAAACAAGGAATGAAAGATAATATATGACGTCAGGTGAGAAGTAAAGAGTAATCTGTGATGTAAAACAAGGAACGAAAGATAATATGTGACGTCAGATAGGAGATAAAGCAAGGAATGAAAAGCAATATATGACGTCAGGTAAGAGGTAAACTGTAAAACAGGCAATGAAAAATAATATAAAGTGTGAAATAAGATAAGAAAAATAATAAAAAAAATATTAAATGAGAGACAAAATAAAAATTGAAAAAATAATATATGATGTAAAATAAACGTAAGAAAAATTATTCAATAAAATAACTTCAATATGTGAAAACATTTTAAACAATTTGATACTTTATTAAATTTATATTAGAAATTGACTTTTACAAAGTAAAAATTTTATAAAATACCATTATAAATCAATTTTCTTAAAAAATTACAAAATATATAAAAAGTGAAATAAAAATATTTTTTAAACTTATTAAAACTAAAATTGTAGTCATAAAAATTTAAATGTAATTAACAATAATAAGATTTAATTGTATAAAAATTGATTATAATTAATTTCTTACGAGCATTCTTTAAATTAAGTAACGTTAAATCCGATTGGATGTTGTAAGAAAGTTCTTAAATTGTAATTAAGCTTATTTAAAAAATCAATAATGTATATTTATTTATTTGAGGGGGTTCTTAAATAACGTTTATTACAAAATCTGTCCCGAATTGATCGCGTGCGATTCGTGTAAGAAGCAAAGGTCAAAGTTCACCGAAGAAACATTCCACATTCATATTAATATAACTGNTTTCTTATCGTTAATCTTCCTCTGTTAGTAGGCGCCGAGAAAAAACAAATATTATTATAATTATACATAATAATGCTATTATAATTATTATATTCTTAGAAAGTCATTGTTTGATTTATTAATTGATTGATTAACTCTAGAAAGCAGCGCATTGTAGACTATGTAGGAGGCCATTATTACACTATTATAGAAGAATGAGATCCACAGTGGCCTCAAAACAGAATGGCTGAGGAGAGGAAAAAGCCATTGTCTTACATTAACAATGATTTCGTTGAATTTATAAATTTTATAACTAAATTTAGAACTTTTAGAATTTATTTTGCTATGTAATTTTTCTTTTTATATTAATAATTAAAATATGGTAACCATTTTGAAAATACTTTATTAAAAAAGAGAATTATTCAGTTTTAATTAAAATCACAAAGCATTATCTATTTTAAAAGATTTTTAAACTTAATTATAAAATTTAATTTTCTATAAAATTAATTTTAAAAGTAAGTTTATTAAGTTGATTTTTAACCGTAAATGAATAATTACATAATGAAAAATGAAAATTTATAGCAACTTATATATTTCTAAAGATATTATTACAGGAATTTTTGATTAACTTTCTTCAAGAATGGCAGTTTTGAATTTTTTCAAATTTATTTTAATCCCCAGATATTAAGTTTTTTTGCGGAATAAAAGTGAGATTCTGTAACAAAGTTTTACATTATTTAAATGAGAATAAGTTGAAGAAGTCCTGAGAAAACTTTTGTATGGATATTTTGCATTCATGCATTAAAATTTAAAATTCATTGGATGTCGTCTATGGCTTCTGGTTATTTCTGTCGAATAAATAACCTTTTGTATGCAAAGTCTTTTGATTTAATTTGAATTATTGCATTGCGGATGTAACTTTTAATATATTTTAAGTCTAAATTCCTTTTTTATTTCATTAATGAATTTCCAAATTAACTTTTCGTCCGATTAATAAGCACTCTGATTAATTTTTGAATATATATTTTAATTCAGAAATTTGTTAAAAAGCTTTTGAAGCAGTTTTAAACGACTTTTATGAAGTAATTATTTCATTATTATTATTTTTTTTTTACAAAATTTATTCTTTAAAAGTAAGATTCAGAATATTAATGACCCAGTCCGCCATACTAGTACATCCATTACAGGTTCTTTATATTGTATTTCTTAAGTCTAATAAATTTCTTGTTTTATCTGCTATTCTGGCACATCGTTCCTAACAAATCAAATTCTATTTTAGCCTGTTTTGAACTTGTCTGTCTTTCCTTTCTTCCCAGCTTGGAAGAATACTAAGTTCTTCATGGCACTATCATTTTTATTCTCTTTTTGTAAGACTTATTACAAGTGCTCGTAAGTTAGTTATTAATATCAAAATAATATCTGATTAAAGTTTTCTCTTTATATAAATAGAAAATCGAAAGGTAATCTTTAGTTATTATTAAAAAGTATGTTTGTTTGAAGTTTTGAAAATAGTGACGTATCATTTGGCAATTAAAAATTTCCGATAGAGGGCTTCAAAAGAAAGATTCCTCTACCGGAATTTAATAAGTTATCTCTCTACTTATGATAATTTGCACTGAACTTTATAAAAAATATTTTGAATAGTGTGTAAAATATTTTTCATACACGTAAAATTTTAATTTATTAAATATAAAATTGTTCTGTTAATAAATTAATTGTATGCTATTTTCTTAATTAAAAAATTTATTCTATAATTAAAATTTGAATTTATTAAAATTATATTCATATAATTGAATAAAGATTAAATAATAGTAAATATTTGGTAAAAGTAGAAGAAATGAAAATAAATATATTTTAAATCAATTTTTAAATCTACGAAAATAGTTTCCAATAAAGGACTTTCTACTATTATAAATTTCCGGTAGAGGGCTGTTTTATTGGAAGCCCTCTGCCGGAAATTAATAAAAACGTTTACTGTATGACTTTGCTTACTTCGAATTTTCTTTAAATATTTATAATAACTTATAAAATTTTTAAAAATTAAAAATTATCCTACAGACACATTCGCAAACAGACAGAAAAAATATTTACAAAAAAAAAACCACACACACACACACAAAGATGAGGCTTGAAAAAATATCGCTGTTTTCAAAAAGTATTTAGTAATTTCATAAGATTTTCTAATTTATTTTATTTAAATATTTTAATTATTTATTTAATAGCACCTTAGTTAATTAATGTAGAAAAAGATTTTTAAAAAATCATATATTTTAACATTAGAGACCAAATTCGATTACCACCATGAAACTTAATTGTATTTCTTTCTTAAAATAATTTTTGCATACATTAACATTATAAATCAGTTGAAGCGGGTGGAATTTTTCAACTTTGATAAGGATTGGTATGTTTTATACATACATCTAATGAGAGTTTAAAGTTTATTTTTAAAATAATTTTAATTAAAAATATATTTATAACGTTATTTTTTATAATTTTATATTTAAAAAACTTTTCAATCTGTTATAATTTTCACGCTTTCCAATGCATTTCAAGGATCGGGACATTAACGGAACTCTATTAATTTGCATAAATTTGATATTAGTTCTTAAGAATCGCTACAAAATCATAAACGTTTTTAAAAAAACTCTTTCGAAAAATCAATTGTAAATTCTGAAAAATTTTAACGTCTTTCGATCGGCACGAAAGACGTAAATGTCGGAAGCGCAATGTTAAACTTGACAACTAAATCTTCAAATTGAATATTGTTAAGTGGATCGATTGATTTTTATGTAAAACTAACTTTAAAATTTCGAATTAAATATTTAAAAAGATTAATTGAAATTCAAAATATAACAAAAATTAATGTTTTTATACCCGGAATTTGTATAAAATGACATAAAAATTCAGTAAATTCAGATATAAATGATCCTAGTAAGTATGGAGATTAACTGGAGGAATATTGTATCTTGCATTAAATTTATATGAGTTTAATCAGCCTTTATATACGTTATACAGTAGGATAATGTAGAATAATGTTTTAAATTAATCGATATATTGACTTGTATAGGATGAACCAAAAGTCCATTAACTGTGTTGTGATTAATGTTTTCTTCGCAAACGTAAATTTGATGGGAACATGATAAAATTATGTTTTTATTTAAACATTTAACTTTTACAACAGTTAAGTCACCATGTATTAAAATTTATGAATTTTAGCCTGTTCCTTCGAGTGAACACGTGAAGAAATCTTGATATTTGGTATACACTTTATAAAGTAAGATAGCCTCAGGTCATTTCTAGACCAACAGGATAGGAAAAAAATCGATTTCCACTTCCAGTTGCTGCATTTTTTGTTGTTCGTGGATCACTTCTACTCAATTGCATCGCCTTATACATCAACATCCTGCACTTGGCTTTGTGCTCGAAACAATTGGAACTATTTGGTAATAGAAACAATTGGTTAATGGTACATTTTTCCTGTTTCTAGAGTAGGAATAAGTGTGCTTCAATAAATAATTCTGATGATTTGAACACGATTTAACCATTCGAACGAGGTTAGTTCACTTGTAAGAAATGAAACCACCGAAGCGCTATCTTTACAGATTTTTTTAATAAAATAAATTGACTTGTTTATGATGCCATGGAAAATAAAATATAAAAATGAAAGTTAAAAATAATTTTTTTCTATTTTTTTTTAATATTTAAGTTATTGAGTCGAGTCCAAATTCTGGATTCCATACTAAGAGCGGATTCATATGAATATAGTTATTGGAACAATTGGATACTGGTTCCTTTTTTTCAATTTTAAGTTGGAATTAGTATGCTTGAATGGATGTTTTTTTTTTATTTGAACACAATCTAATTA